TAGCTTTTGATCACTATTTTTCCATCGTTTTAAAGAATTTTTTTTTTTTCAAAAAGCTGCTTTAAAAATAACAAAAAAAAGTATCCCAAATAAATCTCAAGTGTTCTTAGTAGTAGTATCTTTTCCAATAATATTCTCAAGATTGTCTATATAGAATTGGGAAGACTAGAAGAAGCCAAAGGATCAATCAAAGCACCATAATCTAAAACTTCTTTAGCAGCTTTCTTTCTCTTTTTTTAAATCTTCACTTTTTTGGGAAAAGGAATCAATTACAACAATTCACTTATGTGCGTTTGTAGCTTATGAGGCTTAGCCTTTTAGAGTTTTGTACGATTATAGAAACCATATCAATATAATTAGGAGATTCCATCAAGCTCCTTCTTCTTGGAAGAGAACAAATAGCATAACACGGATAGAAATAAGAAGAAGAAGAATAAATGTTTAAGAACCTTCAAATTAACCTTAATAGAAATTTGTTTAGCTTTTCCTTAATGTTGATATTTATGAAAGAAATAATTATGTCAATATAAGTTATATGTACTAATGATTTATTCTCTTATTTATTTTTCCTTCTCTAAAAAGATAAGAGAATCAGTGGACTAATTTACAAAGAATTAACCAATACACTAAGCTTCAAGCGGCATAAAATCTAATTAATGTGAATATTGTTAAGAGATTTCAAAGATTTTTGGAGTGGTGGTGACTGTTGTAGGATTGGTAAAAGGCTAAAGAATTGAAGATGTTGATTAATTTAAGATTTTTTAGATAGATTTTTACTGGGAATAGCTATCTTTTCTTTTATAAAAAAAGTGGTGAGGACCTCTGGATTAGAGAATTGGGATGTTATCTAATTAATGAATATGATTTTGATTAGATGAACATTGGGATTGTAACCTTTGAATTTCTTAAGTGAACTGGTCATAGCAAGAGTTAATATTTCATGGAAGATGTATAATGTAAGTTTTATAAAATTTAAAGTGATTTAAGACTTTGGGAATGTGTTTGGGATGTGGGATAAAAAATAAGAGAGAAAATGGAATGATAATGGCATCATGGAGGAAGTTGAATTAATGGCATCATGGCCTTCAATTAAATTTTAAAATAAATTATTATTTTTTTTATTTTTTTAATGAAAATATTCAAATAAACTTTACTTCATGTATATAAATAATGTATTATCAACGTCTTCAATAAGACTGGAGCACTTAAAAAAAAAAAAAAATTTAGTTGATAACTTAAACAGAATATATTATGGAGCCACTCTTCTTTGATATGGACATAAGCTGATTTTGCATATTTAGAAGTATGGAGGGATGTCCATCCCACTCTTTTCACGTTTTATAGAAGCTCCAATGAAATAAAATAAGTTTAACACTATTATAAAAATAAGCTTTCGCAGCACTTTTTATGACCTACTACAATGGTTTAAACAACTACTAATTTATTTGCAGCGGTTTATAAACCGCTTCAAATCCATTGTATTTGCGTTCGCTGCAATAGCTTTAGCAGCGGTTTAATAAGTGCTGCTGTAGGAAGGCTATAAAAACACTTTTAGCAGGTGTTAAAACCGTTGCTAAAGGATAATATAAAATAAAAAGTATATATAATGCAAAAAAAAACTGCTACATCAAAAGCAAATTTCTTTACATTATCATTTCATTCTTCCATTCAACAAAAGAGAGAGAGAGAGAGATCCAAAATTGGTGGGGATCTCACCTTCAAGGGGGTTCTGCCACATGATAAGATCCAGGAGGAAAGGAAGAGTAGCGTTGGAAACTTGATTCGTGCAGTTGATATTTGGGCAGCTCGCCGGAGAAACGTGATGATGCCTTTACCGCTGAACGAACGCCGAAAACCTAGACGGACGTGGGAATTAGGCAGGATCAAACTTTATTTTTCGCAAGGGGAGCTAGGGTACGACAAATCCCCGAGGAAGGAGGGAATTAAAATTGCAAAGTAGCGGTTTGAAAACAACTGCTATAATCCGCTTCAAAATTTTCAAAATTTTTAATAATTTTTTAGCAGTTGTTTTCACCGCTGCTAATATTAATCTATAGTGGTGGCTTTCAGACCACTGCCAATAAATGCTTCGAAAATCTCATATTTTTAGTAGTGTTTTGAATGAATTATAATTAACTATATCTTTAATTAAATAGGTTGGTAGTTGATTATTAAATTAAATGAAGAATATTTGGGACCTTTCTTTGTTCCTTACAAAAATATACAATAAGATATATTTTAATACTTATAAATATGGAGTGAATGAATTATAATATATTTCTTTACCCATTGAAAGGTGAAGTTTAGTGGCTTCTTTCTATTATAATTTTTTGATGTTTTCTAAAATATTATTTATATCTTCATTTATGATATTATTCTTAGAAATAATATTAATATATTTTATTTTGTGTCATGTTCCATTATTTATATCTTTGGTATCCCACAATTAGTATCCGAGCTAAAGCTTAAGAATTTATTGTATGTTAAAAATTGTTTACACACTTTTCCTTCTCATCATAATATGTTTTTATTAATTATGCTTATAATTTCTCCATTCAAGGCTTTTTTATCTTCAAAATTTTCTAGTTTTCTTTGTCATCAGTCTTACAAGTAATTAGGGTGTTATATATATGTCAAATCAGTTTTATTAGATAATTCATCCTTCTTAAGGCTTTTACTAAATTACACTTAATAAATTTATGATGAATCTAAATACAAGACCTAATAAGCTAATATTATCTTTGTAGTTTAAGATTGTCACTTAAGTATTCATTTATTGAACCCATTAAAGATTTTTCATGGAAGAAATCCTCTAGGTTACTTAGTGGAATCATCATCCTCTTGTTTCCCATGAAAATAATTAACTCATAAAATCCTCTATATTTAGCAGAGTCATATATTAGTCAGATTGGCTCATAAAGTCAATATGTTGAGCACCTTCACTTAGGTCCAATTAGGATCCATCAATCTTTAATTAAGGCTGGCATTATTTGGATCCTCCAAACCAATTTTTATGTTGCCTTATGTAAGAGATGAATTGTTTAGCCAAATGTATGTGCATTTTGGAGTAAGTTTGATTACTAGACATTTTACAAGACCAATTTAAAGGAGATATGTAGTTCATAAAGTTTTAAAGGAATTAATTCAAGTTGAGGTGGATGGCTAAAGTTTTTTTATTTGAAACTCATGAATTTAAACATAAATATGGATTGAGCATTTTATGGTCACTTGATCTAAGCTTAAGGGGAATTGTTATGGACTTTGATATTTTCATCAAATTTTAGAAGGTTAATCATATTACTGGATTGAACAAAATTGGTTGCTTAGCTTTACTATGAATTGGATTCCTTAAGTTAACTAAAGGATCCATTTCAGCCAGTCCATGATAACTACTTTGGATAAATCCTAAGGTATTTTAGATTGATTATTATTATAGTGGATCCTAAGTTTATTTAATTAATTAGGCTAAGTAATCATGTATCTTTAGCTTCCTTTTAGGTTAAATATAGGATTAATTGGTACATCTTACTAATTAAGCTAGGGGTTGGCTAGGTTAATCAAATAAGTCATGTAGCTCAATTAGAGAAAACCAACAAAATGGGTTTACATGATCTATAAGTTAGGTTCTTCAGTGGGTCTAAGTGACTAGGTCCTCTAATATTGACATATGTCTATTAGCTTTACTAGTATGATCTACATTTAACCCAAGTCTTATAAGTTTCTCCTAAGGGCACTTATGATTTCATTCATTAGGACTTTACCATGAAATGTGTTCATATTTATTAAATCATGATAAGCTTGAACTCTATCAAATCCAAGTCTAGGGGATTGAATTAAGAGGATTCTAAAGTCTTGCTAAATGCGATGTTAGTCTATATTTTTGTAGTAATAAAAGATAAGGCATACAAAGAATTATTAGGTTCAACCCATTATATTTTAAGTGTCCCACTCAATAGTTCATTCATTTAACCACATTGAATAAGCTAAAATTAGAGTGTGAACTCTTCCTAGCTAAGAAAAGAGATAAATAATGTATTGTATATATAATTGATTTCGCTCTCCTTCTTCATCTCTCTATAAAATGGTAAAATTCATGATGAACTAATATTCTTTTTCCTGAAAATATTGTGATTGTTCTAATGGCCATCTCTCTCTCTCTCTCTCTCACACACACACACCTTTAAAGAGATAAATGTCAAGATGATATGATATTTACCACCTTAAATGGCCACCTCTCTCAAACAGATCACATGAAAAGACTTGGTGGTATCACTTCTTGGTTACTTAAATGACAACATAATAATACATCATAAACAAAGCGTGACAACACTCCTTATTTTGCTTTCTCACATGCATGTTCGGTTATGATGAACATGCATGCCATTATATCACTTATCATGTATGCATGCATGCACTTGACATCATAAATGTTGCAGAGGCTGTAGGGTGACCAACATGTGTAGGACAATATGACATCACATGCTTTATGGGCAGCAAGGTGGTCCCCTCATTTTTCACTATTGTGTCATCATCATTCAATATGTATTCAATAAATACATTCTCGCTTATATTTTTTTTTTTGAAAAAATATTACTTAATAAATATTTTTTGAAAGAAAACTTTGTATGTTTTCTTATAAATTAAATTATACTTTATTTCTTTTTGACACAAAAAATCGCTTTATAAAAAGCTTTCTTAAAAAATGAGAGAAGAATTCATTTTTATATAAAAAACTTAGGCATTATTTGAGACAATTTTTATATTATTTTTTATAATAAAATTTTTTCCTTATAAACTTTGTATACTAAAATTAAAAACTATATTAAAAAATAAAAAATAAAAATTTGGTAAAGATTTTTATTAGAAATATAATATAAATTGTTTTTTTTTGGGAAGCTTAGGGGCAAAAGCCCATTCATTGATAATGAAAAACTAGTTACATGTGTAGAAAAGTAAAATAAAAAGAGGTGAAAAAAAACCACCTCAGAACTATAGCATCCTCAAAATTTACACATGTCAAAAATTAAAAACCCCAAAATAAATTTTGGAAGCTGAATAGTTGGGCTCAGTGTAAAACCAATTGCTGAAGCCAGAGGAATTCGGAGCTCCCGGTTGCAGATCTTGCCGTCCAAGTACAGTGGTTGCAAACCACCGCCATCCTGGGAGCAGCCCAGCAATTGAGCATCATTGCCCCCAGCACCATAACCCCAGCGGGTCCAAAAAAACTCCACATAAGCCTCCAGCAAATACAGAAAAATATGAAAGCAGTGAACAGGAAAGAAACTGGGGAACCAATTTAACAAAAGTGTGCAAAACATTAAAACAGATCCTGCATCGAATTATCCTTTCTCCATTTAATGACTTTAGCCAAAATTGCCTTTTTGATCTTCACACACACAGAAGACGAAGATGCAGCAGTCAAAGCAAATCTTCTATCATTCCTTTCTCTCCAAATAAAGTATAAAGAGCAACAAATAGTTAAATATTTAAGCCATTTAGTGCGTGCATCAAAATTAGGATTATCATTCACCCAGTCAAACAATTGCATAAGATTGGGCCTAAGAAGAATCGAGGCACAATCCGGAATGAGAGCTGTAATGACTGAATGAGAATAAGAGCAATCAAAAAACAGATGACCAGTGGATTCCGGGTAGCCATTACATAACGAGCAAGTGATTTCCACATCAATATTTCTCCTATTAAGCTCAACCGCAGTTTTAAGGCCACCAACTAAAGAAAGCCAGGAATAAACCGAGTACCTAAGAATATGCTTTTTGTGCCAAATAAAGCAATCCCACTGGCAAAGAGGAAGCATTTTATAATAATCTGAGACAAAATCTTTGAATTTAGCTTTTCTACCAGTAACCGTGTCCCAAACCAGGCATTCTCTGTAATTATCATGAATAATAATACTGCTAATGCAATTAACAGCCACACTATGAATATTAATTGGAAGTTGCCAAGAGCCATCAACAATGAACTTGCTAACAGAAGTGTTGCCGAAAATACTGGACAAAGAAAACAAATCCACAATTCTATTTTTGTTACACCAGTAATCCCAAACAAAAGAAGAAGGAGAAGAGGGTGTAACAAAATGAGTCCAGTTAGCCTTAGAATCAATAGCAGTAGAGCAAATAGCTTTCCAAAATTTAGTGGCCTTAGAATCAGGAGGCTTCCAAGGAGAGCCATATATCATAAATACCCAGTCAGCCAGAGGGAATTTACGGGTGTAAATTCTATGAATTAAAGAGCAATTATACCCATATTGCAGAGCAGGTATGCTAGGCAGACCAAGACCACCCTTGTTTTTAGGCTTGCAAACAGTATCCCAGGCAACAAGGTGGAGTTTTCTTACCACAGTAATATCTCCAAAAAAAAGAAATTTAGAAGCAATCCTTCTAACAAATTTAATAACCGCCTTAGGTAAAATAGAGCCTCTTATCCAGTATGCAATTGAGTTTAGGAGAGTAAACTTCAGAAATTGAAGTCTGCCAGCAAAAGACAGAAGGCTAGCATTCCAACCAGAGAGCTTCCTGGAGACTTCTTCCATGAGAGGGGAGAAGTCAGCAATTTTAATCCTCTTAAAAGAAATAGGAATTCCTAGATAGTTGATGATCTCCTTGTGGTTAAGGCCAAGAGACCTACAGATAGAGTTGTCATTGATAATGTGACTGGGAAGCATAATGGAGCTCTTATCCAAATTCATAAAAAGTCCAGAGGATTTGGAAAATTTAGAAATAATTTGCATCAGATTATCACAGTTGGCTGGGGATGCTTCACCAAAAACAAGAAGGTCATCAGCATAAAGCAAATGAGAAATCTTAAAATTCCCAAAATGAGCACCCATGAAATGATTGTTGTCAATGAGAGAAGAGAATGCGTCCATCACAAAACAAAATAGGTAAGGGCTTAATGGGCATCCCTGTCTTAAACCAGCTGTGGATGGAATGAATCCTTCAAGAGCCCCATTTACAATAACAGAAAAGTTAACATCACAGATGCAAGCCTTAACCCAGGATATAAAAAGAGGAGGAATCCCTTTCTGCTCAAGCCTAGCCAATACAAAATCCCTAGATACCGTATCGAAAGCCTTACGAATATCAAACTTGGCACAAAACAAATTTTTCTTTCCTTTATTAGCAAATGAAAGAATCTCTTGAGCTAAAATGATGTTGTCCGTAGAAATTCTAGTTTTGATAAACCCAGCTTGAGTATCTTTAATAATTAAAGGCATAATCGATTTTAATCTGGAAGCTAGGATTTTGGAGATAATTTTATAGCTGATGTCTTACTTAAGTAACTGATTGTAATCTGATCACCCTTGGAGGTGATTCAGTCCTTTGTAACCAACTCAAAGTCTAGTGGAATCATTTTAAACTGGGCTAGGCCTCGTGGTTTTTCCCTTTTAAGGGTTTTTCACGTAAAAAATCTTGTGTTCTCTGTGTGTGAGCTAGTTATACGTACAACGCTAAGACGCAGAATTAAATCTCTATTGCCGCATATTTTCTAGTCCGCAACACATATAAATGACATTCGAGTATTGAGTGTAAATTTATCAAAAAGAAAAAAAAAATCTTTATCATTGTTGTAAAATTGGCTTGGGCTAGGCACTTGGACGGTGAGGATGACATTTTATTTTTTTTAAATGATTATGATTTATGACTACATTTGAGATAGCTTTCTTTTAAAGTAGTAAAAAAGGCATTCTAAAAGAAGCCTATAAACGTTGGCTAATGTTGACCGTCTCAGCCTCTTGTCATGAGCATTGTCCATGTAGAAAAATCAAGAAGTGCATCGATTTGTGTTTTTTTTTCTTTTGGTTATTGATTTTTCTTTTAGGAAAAAACTTTTAGGCAACTTTGAATTGTTTTATGATAAATAAAATTGTATTAAAAAGGAAGTCATAAATTTTTTTCTACCATTAGTACAAAAAAAAAACTTTTAGGAGCTAATTAAAATGTTTGTAAATGTTAGCTGATGTTGAATACCCACTAAATGATAGTCAGCTTTTTATATTGTGCCATGCCACATTTAAGAAAACTAAATGACAGGGGTGGAATTTGTTAAGAGAGTTGTTATTTGCATGTTTTACATTATTGCAATTTATATAATTTTGATGATTTCAAATATTATTATTTTATGTGTAGTTATCTCCTAACACTTTTTTGGAAGAGTTGTTTTTGCTCTTGTGTGTACTAACATTTCAGAAAAATCAAACTCCAGATTACAAAAATTTTAAATCAAATTCAGAATGAGATACTTTGTGTATTTAAAACTTGTATTTTTCTTTGAATTAAGTTTGAGAGGGAGTGATTGTAATTGAGTGAATACACACACACACTTTAGGAGATCTTGAAAGTTTTGTATTGATCGTACGAGACGAAGAAAGTTCGTGCGAGACGATCAGGTCAGTTATCTCCTCGTAAGAGCAATGGAATGAACAGGAATTGAAGAAAATTTTTCTAAGTCCTGATCGTCCAGGATGAAGTGTATTCGTCCCAGGACAAAATGTTCTCTAGAAAATTTTCATTCAGACGAAGTGTATTCGTTCCAGGACGAGTTGCTCTATGGAGTAATTTCGTCCAGGACGAAGTGTATTCGTCCTGGGATGAAATCTCCTCTGGAGAATTTTTGTTCAGACGACTGGAAAAATTTTGTCCGGACAAACCTATATTCGTCCCAGGACGAAGTGAACCTAATCTGAAATTTTAGTGACATTCTACAATTTTTGGGAACCGACTTATGGAATAATCGTTCGTACCGGATGAACCTAGTTCGTACGGGACGATGTGTGTGTACGAATTCATTTCGTACCCATATATTTTAGGTTCGTTTCCAACGCATTTAAGTAAAATCGTCCAGGACGATCCATGATCATACGGGACGATCCAATGCGTATTGACTTAAAAATTTGTAGTTTTTGGACGGTTATTTGTGTATTTACATAAAATAGTCTAAACTAAACTTCCACTTAATCTTTTTTCCTACTGATCTTCGTGCCTATTGAAAGAAGAGTCAAGGAGAGAGTGTGAGAGAGTGTTTGAAGGAGATTTCTTGCCATTGGAGCGTGAAGGTTTCACTTGGTACTCAAAGGTAAGAGTCTTTACTCATGGTTTGTGATTACTTCACTCTTTTCTCTCTTCCTTCTAGATTTCTTGTGAATAAGATCTGTTAAGGAGATCCGGTTCTCTGCCGACACTTGAAGAGTGTGAACAACCGAGGTTTGCCCACAGTAGGAGAGTGTAAGAGGACGAAGGGTTCTCTGCCCACACTAAGAGAGTATGAAAGGACGAAGAGTTCTCTGCCCACACTAAGAGAGTGTAAAGGACGATGGTTCTCTGCCAACATTGGGGATAGTGTAAAAGGATGACGGTTCTCTGCCAACACTGGGATAGTGTAAAAGGATGATGGTTCTTTGCCGTATCGGGCAGTGGTAGAAAGAGTGTTTGTAAAGGCTTCTCTGCCTTGCTGTGGTGCAAAAGGAGAGTCACTAGTGGTATTAGTGCAATACTCGGAGGGTGTCTCCGGGGAGTGAATGTAGGTCTGATTTTGACCAAACCACTATAAATCTTGTATCTTTATTTTTCTGCTACTTTTTATTTTTGTATTTTTACTTTTAAAACTGTGGTTGAAAAACATTTTCTAGAAAAAAACACTAAAGTTTTTATTTTCATTTCCTAATTTAAAAAGAGGGTTAAATTTTTTAATTACCAATTCACCCCCCCCCCTCTTGGTTAGCCGTGGGACATAAGCTTAGGTTTAACAACCTAATTCATAGTGAACGAGTTTCAACAGAACTCTTAAGCGCCCATGAGGGAAATTTGCCCCCCTTAAAAAAATTAAAAATTTATTTATATTACATGAATTTTTAGGTAATTTGTCCCCCTACAGCTTTTTTTTACTCTTTATTATAGAAATATTTAGGCAATTGTCTCCCCTAATAAAATTAAAATACTATAATCTATAGGCGATTGCCCCCTAACATAATTATACACATTGTGTAGAGGAGTTATTACATGGGATTTTTGGCAATTGCCCCCTACAAGTTTTAAAATACTATGATCTCTAGGCAATTACCCCCAACATAATTAAACACATTGTATAGAGGTGTTATTGTTAGGGAACGATGAATCTAATACAAAGAGAAATAGTAAAGAGAATTCAAAAATATCCTTAAAACCAAAATTTTTTCCTGGGGCGTTGCCCCCTTGGATCCCCGACATATTGCGTAGAGGTGTTACCTAATTTTTGTTTAAGAATAATTATCATTATATAAGATGTTATTGATATTTTTAAAATGTAATATATATTTAAGTAGAAATAATCATTAGTCACTAAAATGTATATATATGAAAAAATAATTCTACACCTTGACTTATAAATTTGTCCCCCTAAACAATTAAGGCTGGTTCCGCCCTTGCTAAACGGTGTTAGAATTAAAACTTTTAATAAATTAATACATAATAAAAAGAAGCAATTACATTTTCTTTTCTCTCTCTCTCTCTCTCTCTCTCTTTTATTCCCTATTTTTCTTAATGTTGGTGCATCAAAAATATTTTGGAGCTTATGAAAATATATTTTTGATAAATCTTTTACTGGGAATTTTTTTTATTTTAATGATCTAATGTCATAAATCATGATCAACTTGAGAGGCATTTAAATGTTCAAATTACTTGAGGGGCATTTAAATGTTCAAATTATTATTAAGGTAACCTCAAATTTTTATTTAGTTATAAAATTAGAGATATGTTGATGTTTTTGCTATATTAAAAATCATTGCATCCATGCTGTGATATTCACCATCATGTACATCCAAGTATTTAAAAAATCCGGTTCAAGCTAAGGAAATCTAGTTCGTGATAAATTAAGCTGGTTTAAGTCAGATTAACTCGATCTACTCAATTTTGTACTCACTTGCTTAATAGAGAACTCGTCTTAAGTAGGTGACTATATCAAGAAACTTATGCTAGTAGGTGAATAAGGGCTAATAGTTAGACCTAGCGACTATAATCTATAAAATTGGCCCCCATGACTTCTTAATAATGGATGACTTCTAAATTTAAACTATTGGTTAGCTGTTTAGATATTTTATTATCAAGTTAAAGACTTCTTTAAATTTTTTGTAAATGACTTCATCAAGTTAGACCTTCTGAGCAAGTTAAAATTATTATATTTTTTTTCTTATTTCATGTGTAGTTTTGCATATAATTAACCAACTCAGTAACACTCAAGCTCTGACCCAAATCTATAAAATAAGGGGTTAAGGGATGAGATCAAACTATGAAATCTTACTCAATATTTCCCTAAGACTCGATTCTCTGCACTTTAGCCTATTTTACTTAAATCTCTAAGTTTATCACTCAAGAATTCTTCATTTCTCTTCCCTTATTCTCTTTTTCACTCAATTTTGTCATTATATTTTGATATGATTATAATTTGTTATTTATTCAACATTCTAAATGGTGTGGTGAGTAAAATGCCTGCTAATAACTAGAAGAAGAGAACCACATGAAGCAGAACAATATCAAAGAGAAGGTGATGAAAAATCAAGAGCATTTGATTATTCATTAACTCAATAAATTCAAGGAAAGGATGACTCAAATGATTCAAGAAATACTAAAGAGGATTCTAAAAATCAATCTATGTGTGGAATTACTTTGGGTTGATTGTTTTGTTGTAAGGAGTGGAAGACTTTCTAGAGCTAGAGCCTTGACCTCTACTCTAATTATTGATGAAACTCACTATCTAAAAAGTGTGGGATTGACTTTGACTATTTTATGAAGAAAAGAGAATTGAGAAGAGGAGGTTGCAACTTGTCAATGCCTTCTCTAGGGAGATCATTCAAGCCAAGCCTCCAACAAAAGTTGAAATTAATCATATAGATTTATACGAAGAAGGAAAGTATCCCACCTACCATATTGCTACTTTGAGTCAGTTTCCCCCAAGATATGAGTGATGCATTGATGTATAGACTATTTTTTACTACCTTCAATTATAAACTCATTTAAGGTCATTTTGAAACGTACCTCTTGGTGTCATTACTTCTATCATAAAGTTTAATATTCATGATGCAATTCATTAATTCTCAAATACTAAAGAAGAACTCTCAAACCTTATTGTGAATGAGGAGAGAACTAAGCGAATCACTGAGGAATTTAATCACTAAGATTTAGAAATAGATGCTTGATGTGAAGGATTTAGATCAAGCTATCGTGCGAGTGGATGTCACCTTAG